ATGTAGAAGGGAATTCGCTTTGGGGGGGGCGGCAGTGGTGGTAGTGTCGGGGTGCCTTGTCCAGCTGCCTGTGCTGGGGAGTCTAGCAACCTGTCCGACAGCCACCACGCACAAACGTGTGTGTGTGAGAGAGAGAGGGAAAGGGGGAGAACAGATGGGGGTGGTTGTGTGGAGTGATTGCCATTGCAGTTTGCGTGTGTGCGTGTATCAGGGCTAGAGAGCGCTGGGGTGAGAGAGAGTGATTGCTGATGTACTGCTGGGAGGGAGGAGAGGAGTGGTTGAGCTGTAAGACCACCTGCTCCTTGCCTCTCTCTCCATTTCTCTCTCTCTTGCACTCAGAATCACTCGGCAGGAGAGGGCGCGAGTAGCAGCTTCAAAGCCCTTCTCTCTCTCAGGTCCCCCCCCCCTTTTCCCTTTCTGAGTGGGTGGTAAGGAAGCTGCATGTGTGTCTGAAAACACAACTGTGTGTGCACGAGGGGAAGAGAGAATTTAGCATGCATTTTTGAACATGCATTTGCTTGTATCATTTTTGTTTATCTCGGCCGACTTGGATATGTTGGTTTCTGTTTGTTATTATCTGGGATGTTTGTGTGCGTGAGAGAGAGGGACACGCTCCGAATGTGCGTCTTCTAATGTATGAAAAGGGATGACCACACTCAGGAGAACATGAGGGGAGCAGCAATATGTCTCTCTGTTTATGAGAAAATTAGATAAGGAAAAAGGGGGGAAATGTGTTTTTCTCTCTGTGAGGGGGTGTGTGTATGAGAGAGAGCGGTCTTTTGATGGAGAGGGACTATGCCAGCCACTGCGTGGGGGAGATGTGTGGATGCGTGTGTCACTGATTGTGCCATGAATGAAAATAAGGCGTGAGGGAGGGGAGTGGTGGTGGGGGGGAATCGGGACTATGACTCTCCTCCCCTTCAACCATCTCCTCCTCTCCATCCTCTCCTCCTCTTGAGTGGCAGATGAAGGGCTGCTAGCAGCTTGCTCAGGCGCGCGTCAATAATTAGCGTCCTCTCCTCTCCTCCATGTTTTCGTTTGCTCTGTCGTGCAAACGGAGCGCTTGTCGCAACGCACCGAGTCACCCGAGCGAAGCCCATCTCGTTCATTCTGAATTTCTCCTGTGCAGCCAAGGGTGTTCCATCGCTTTTACAAGCGGTGCCCCCTTCTCTTCCTACCGCCATATATATTGCGCGCTGTGCAATTACGGCAGTGGCCCGTGATCGCTCCTGGCATGCAGAGGCGCGCACCAGGATGGACATATGCGCAGAAGAGCAGAGCCGCCTCGGCATTTTCTTCTCACTTTCATAAACAGATTTGTACACGCACGCGTTAGCAGTCAGTTCGTCGCGTGCGCATGCACAGGCACATGCACGCACGCATGCACATGCACATGCACGCACGCGAAACGGTTCAAGGACAATTGATTTGGAGTTTAATTTCTCTCCCGGTGCTCCTGACGCAAAAGGATGCGCCTCCGTCTGACCTTGACGACAGACGGGGAGTTTTGTCTCTGTCGCCAAGCTCACTGAGGCCACTCGACACACACACACACACACACACACACACACACACACACACACACACACACACCTGGAAATGTTAAAACCTTTTTTGTACCATTATAAATGAACTCTTTCCATCTGTTTTGTAATTATAGCCAACATACTGCTATTCTTGATTTTAGCTGCAGCTGTGAAATAGTCGTCTTTTAATAATTCATGAGTTCAGTCACACAGCCTGCTCCTATGACACGCTTATTGCCAGGGCGTTGCTCAGCCCAGAACACCCTGGAAAGGCCTGGCTTCTCAGAGAGGGACGGTGCGTTTTGTCCGTAGACATGAGAATGAGTTCAGCTTGTCCTCGGCAACGTGGCTATAGAAACAATCACTCAGGAGAGAAAATGCATGAAGATCAGACACATCGGCCTTCACGTAGCTCCCCGGTTAGACATAGTCACCTAAAAACCTCACTGGTCAGATTTCTTAAACGATGTGTTGAGTATTCTACAGTTTGGAGATGAGTACCAGCAGATGATACTACGTCTATATGTGATGCATTTGTTTTGCCTACAGCGCTGACACCAGTCGAGATGGCCAGGGGTTAAAAACGACTGTACTGGAGGAGGCGTTTGAAAGCTTCTCTCATCTCAGCTCGACACACAGCTCTGATACACACGCAGGCTTCTTAGTGCGTTCGGTTGGCGGGGGCGTGCGTGAGCGTACTGTAGTTTACTTGTGTTTGTCACTCATTTATATTAGTGATTCTCTTTGCAAACACCAGAAAACTGTGTATAGTTGAGGCCTTCTGAAACAATAATAATAAAAGGCTAGGTGTGTCTACCTATGAAATCATGATGATGTTGCCCTGTTACATGATTTCAGTGAAATACTGTAGTTCAGTGTTCATATGGAATCCATATTTTACCTAATGCCACGCTGTAATTCTGTAGTAGGATATTTTTAATATCTATGTTGAATATTACATATTTTTCTGCTCTGATATTGTCAGTAATTAAAAAGTATTCCTGATTCACTGCAGCTGTTTTGTTTTTAAGAAATATTTTTGGCATTTGAGGCATAATTCAGGTTCCCTGTTAGGGGTGTGGGGGAGGTGTAAGGGTCAGGGTCCTGGAGGACTCAACCACACACACACCTTGGATCAATGCTTTCTGTTGCCATAGAAACGGGAGGACAGTGGTGTTGGATACTGTTACTAGGCAGGAGAGAGTGCCTCTGAATGAGGTGAGAGGACGTGGAGAGTAAACAACATCAGGGCTGAGTGGGAGTGGCCGTTAATAATGTCTACGCTACATTTGTGCTTGAATTATTTTCTCAGGTGAGGTGGAATAAAAATAAGTCTCCCTTTGGGTTAGAAATGACAGTTGGACAAATGTTAAAAAATGTGTGCCACATGAAAAAATGACTTAAATCAATATACAGTATGTCTAAATTTGACACCCGAATTTAGGTGGCCATAAATTGTGTTGTTGTCACATTTGTCAAATCTGTTATTAACATGCACTTGTTATTGCACAGGTCTACTGCACAACCTAGTGGGAACTTTTATGAAGTGCAGCAATATAGTAGATTTTTCACTAAGTGCCTTCCTGTTGATTTTGTAATTAAATATAGTTGTTTTACTTACTAGCACTGTTGCAGCGAAGACACAAGGCACACACGAAAGCCAACATCTGCCCCTTAGTTTCCACTGTTAAACTAATGTGACAACAAGAAAACAGTGAATGTGGCTTAAAACAGGTTGGATTTCTAGGTATAACAAACAAGTTGTGACTAAGAAAGAAAAAATGGTCTGTCTTCTGCTGCTTCAGCCCCTCTGTGTGTCTGCCTGCTCTGCTTGTGCGTGTTATGTTTACACGCTGCCCATGGACCTGCTTTAGTTAACAGCACCGTTGGTTTCCTTCAGTAGCAAAGACAGCGCATCACTTGTGCCAGGAGGAACAGTGTCCTGGCACTCATTTAGTCCCACGGACAGCGCCCGGGTAGTTATTTAGTAATGCGTTATTCCTTCAGTTTCAGGGACAGTCGCCCTGTTTGTCTGCTAAGCTAAATACTTCTGTCTGATGTACATGTAGCAAAATCAGCTGCTAAACATTTCAGTAATAGATTTAGAGGCCGAGGCTCTTTAGGATGAGATAGTCATTGCAGCCATATTTATTTGTTGCTTTTCTAGATACCAAAATGTATTTAAAATGCATTAAGGAAGCAAGTCATCTCATAGCATGTGTACCGCTCTAATTGGATGTTTAATTTGATTTATATTGACTGCGTCTCAGTACCTTGTTTTAAATGTTACCCACTGTTCGTATAAGCTACTGTTTCTGGCTACGAATTGCCTTCACATGAGCACATACTTTTTGTTGCATGCTATTGTAATGGTAGGTTGCAACCACTGCATAGGCTGTTTCTTAAATCACTGGCTTAACATGTAGATTACACTGTGTCCAGGGATGCATGCATATCAGTGGTTAGCAGATGGAAGACGGTTAGCTTTCAACCTAATGAAAGTAGTTTGTGTTATGCATGAAGTGAGGAACATTTTCATAGTATAGTTCTAACAATCTGCAGCTATAAGTATTTGAAATCTTCATTAGTATCTGTGTAAGAGTAAGGTTCAAGTTGTGTGCTTTTAGTGCTTGAACACAAAATATAGTATAGTGTGATCAGGTTAGAGGAGAAGTGCAAGTGTGTGTAACTGAGGCTGCCTACATGTGGTTAAGGTAGTTGGTGCTATTAAATGTTAGTGGTTTAATGCCATGTTGAAGTCTGGGTGTGATGGACATGAGTGTGACAGATACTGCACATGAGCATGTAAAGGCTTTGTCCTCACTTTTGTTTTTATTGCACATTTTAATCATTTAATAAACAGATCTTCACAGTAACAATGTAGTAGCAGAAAACAGAAGCAAATCATTGTATAGTGCAGCTTGTTAGGTTTTTGATGTATATATAGTTATTTACACTGAGAATATGAAAATCAAAGAACAGTGCTCAGATATCCCTGTGGTGGAACGAGACATTTTAACCCCTTTATCATGCCCCCAAGCAGACCTGAGTCTCAGCCTTTACACTGTTTGTACCTCTCTGAGTCCTGTCCGTACTGCCAACCCCAAAACATTCAAGTACTGCATTTCTGTCATTGCACAGGTACCGGGTTAACTAATACACAGGATGCAAAGGAGGAAAATGAAACGTGCACTGGCACCACTTCAATAACTTAATGTTCAAAATCAAACAGATTTGTTTTAATGTCTAAACATAAAAATAGTATCCAAAGTAATGCCAATTTAAACTGTATCCAAATACTGCAGGGCCTATTGCAAACCTTTCCTGTTTTCTAAAACTACATGAAGCCAATCCATAACCTAAAATATATGAGCATACCAATAAATAGTCACTAGGACACAAAATCTCATAAAAGGAAACAACATACAAACGGTAACTTTGCATTTCATAGACTGTAAAATTATCTCATAGCAGGCAATACTAAACGTTTCAGTTCTGCAGGTAATGATGGTAGTATGGGCTCCGGTCTTTAGAGTAGTTTTGGTTTGGAAAATACTAGTTTAGTATTTAGTGTAGTGCAAGATAAACCTGCTAGGAAAGTAAAAAAAAAAAGTGAAGGTACTGTTTGAACTGCAGTGTAAAATGTGTTTGCACTCAGATTTATACTGTTCATAAGTTTGTAGTAACATTTTCAGCTGGTCTGTGTCAAGACAAAGAAGCTTATAAAGACAGTAATGAGAACAGACTATAACTCTTTCTCCTGGTGTCAGTTGTTTGTGCCAGGCCTAACTTATCCTTATGCTGATATATGGATCACTGCAGAAGGTGAAACCGATCTTTTCTGACATGTTTTTACAAAAGGAAAAAGATCTTGAAACCTCCACTCACGAACCTTTTCATACATTGCGATAACCGATAAAGCTTATTGTCTGACCATTTGCTGCCCAGTCAGTGTAAATTTTGGTTATGTACTAATATAATAAAACATACTTTAAAGCAAACTAGTACCTCCATATTAAAAACAAACACGACAGAATCCGAACACAGCATTGGTTCCTTTATCGCTTAAACAACCTTTGATGAAACAAAAATACATCTGTATGTAACAAATACAAGGTCTCTTAGTGAGCACAGTCTTTCATTGTAACTGACAGTTCCTTTGAAATAAACACACTTAAAAGCAGTTTTCAAAGAGGCAATGATGGCAAGTCTTGGAATTCACTGAATTCAGCTTTAGAAGTGGGATTTTCGGTCCAATCCCGCTGGGGAGACGGCCACAGATGTGGTCCATGTGTCACGGGTGGTTCCTGTCACCCTGGAGCTTTGCGCTCACTACCTGTGGCCTGGGCTCCTGTGGGTGGCCGTGTCCCCAGCTAAATCTTCCTCCACAACATTAACATAGCCTTCTTTCTCTATACAGCCCGCAAGGACCTTCAGGACCAGCCGGAGCCTGCGGTCCATGGCCTGGAGGTGAGGCTGGATGAGGACGGGGGACAGTCGGTCACGCAGCAGAGACTCCTCCATCAGGGAGCTCAGCTGATACTCCTCTTTGGCCAGAAGCTGGAGACGCAGATAAGTGGACTTTCTCACCCTGGAAACAAAGGATAATCGAATGGGTAATAAACCTCTAATATCAGGGTGATTAGTGTTTGCACATTCTTAATATGATGATGAGTACTCAAAATGGAAAAAGGTTTAGCGAGTTGCCTTGCACATTTGTAATGGCAATAATGTCCTGGCCAAAGAACTGTTCAACATCCTTTCTGCCCTGTTGCTAGCAGGACAAAGAAACACTAATCCAACAAAAGGACTATTGACAGACCTGCAGCACTGGCTGAGAGGCACCAGGATGGACAGTTCATCATGGGAGTGTTTTCCAAACCTGCAGGGTGGATATAAAGCTCAAAGTATGAAGTGTAAAATATCACAAACACAGTCTAAGTTGGACTTGTATTGTTAGACTACTGTTTAGCTTTCTTTTGAAGATGGTTTGCCCAGATATTAAGTTTGTAAAATACTTCTACTGTGAGCAGAGAGATGCCAATTAATCATTTTATTACTGATTAATACCAGATACCCTTCTCAGTAGTTTCTATGATAGACAGTACTGTAAAATGAGCTGAATGTCTTTTACCCTCTTCCATTGTCCAGGTGAATAATGAAGGTGTCGTTTCCAAATTTCTCAAAAGTTTCATAATGATGGCGATCCATGTTACCTGTATAAGGAGAGAAGAAAATGGTGAGTAAATGTGATTTGGAGTCAAGACACTGTAGTTAAATCATTTAAAGAGGAATTTAAATATAATTTATTCATGTCATATGATACCCTTTATACAGAATGTTACACCCACTTTCTTTTCCTCTTACCCATTAAGAAGTCAAAGATGGTCATGTCCATGATGTCCAGCAGTCGAGTGCCTTGGTCATATGGTGGCGTCTGCTTCACCTCATCACAGTAATCTGGATCCACCTCCCACCTGAGAATATTTAAATGAGTTACTAGCTGGGATTCCACCCTTGAATGTTAATGAAGACTAATTGGATAATATGAATGCTTGTGTAAACAAGGTTATGTTTAGATGATTGCAGTCTGGGGAAGGCTTTGGAAGCCTGCAGTGCTCTTAGCAGACTCCCAGCATGGAAAGGTGGGAATGGGAAAGGAAGGTAGGGATACACGATTTATGAGGAGGGTAGGAGGGTTGCATAAATGAGGAAGAGGGGGCGGGGCGTGGTCCCACTCCTGTACAGTCACAGACAGGTAGATGATAAGATATTCTGCAGAGCTGAAACCCTGACTCAGGAAATAAGAGGTGTGACAGTGTGGTAGTTTCCTTACTCTGCTTTTTTGCGTTTGTGGTAGGAGCGTCTCCAGGGGTTCCTCCAGGTCTTGCGTTTGGCCAGGTTCAGGTCTGGGAGGAAGGCTGCTAGTGAGCCTTCAATCTGGTCTGGTTTTCCACACAGAGCATGCTCAGTGGAGCAGTAGTAAGAGCATTCACCATAGAAGCAGACGTTATTGGCTGGGGACAGAAATGAAAACACGCTGGTTTAGAAATGGTGTTCCAGTGGTAGATGTGGCTGAATATGACTGATGAAATAAACATGGAGAAACAAAAAAAATGACAAGAAAACCTCATCACCCTAATTTGTCCCTTATCTCAGCTACAGGGTTCAGCACAGGTCACAGAGGCAGAGACACTGATCGCTGACCCAGCAAGGTTGTTACTTTTCAGACACAAAAACTGGGCCATCGTTTATTTATTTACAGTACGTCTTCCTACAGACAAGATGTGAGTACAGATCAGACTGACTGTTCAAAGTATTTCATTAAAATTTCACATTTGGTTTTTGGTTTAACTTTGTATCTCTATAGTTTTTAGTGATGACAACTCTGAGATTGGTGACATTAATTAGAAATTAGACATTATCCGTAAGGGCATCTGGCGTAAAACGTACCAAGTTTAACGTGCAAATTGTCGGTTGGGTGGCAACTCATGATTCGCTGTGGCAACCCCTAATGATAACAGCCGAAAGTAGAAGCGATGATATCTTTGAGAAATTGTAAACGTCCTCAATGTACCCTGACAGTTATTCCTTTATGACAAATATAATTTGATAATTTGGATTAAATTATCATGATAGAGTGCCCCAAACCAGTTTAGGGCAATCAATACATCAATAGCAGCATCTTGTATTCCAAAAACTGACACCCTCACTCCAAGATGGCTGGCAACGGCGGCTACTTTTGGCTGGTCCTGTTAGGGGTTGCCACAGCACTCTGGCACGATTTTTACACCGGATGCCCTTCCTGATACAACCCTCTCTATCAGGGCTTGGGACCGGTACAGATGTCAGTGGCGTGAAACTTCTGTGGACAGAGGTTCCCCGACTGGGAATCGAACCCAGGCCGCAGTGGTGAGAGCACTGAAGCCTAGCCACCAGACCATCAGGGAGATGGCTGACGATGGCAGCCATGTGCAAAATGCTTCAGGTATATCTGTGAAAATCTCCTGACCAAAGCGGCCAGCGCAGGTTGAAAAAAATATTAGTATTTCTGTTTTGTAAACCTACATTTATGGGAAGATGTAGTCTTTATATCTGCAGTAAAGAACGTGGGGGTGATCATGGACAGTGATGTGAAACTTGACATACAGATTAATGCTGCAGTGAAACCAAACTTTGGCTGTTTGCCAAGATAAAGTCCTTCTTCACCTGTAAGAATCTAGAGAAGGTAATTCATGCCTTTATTAGTTTGAGTTTGGACTACTGTAATGTACTCTATGTTGAAACCAGTCAGTCCTGTTTTTCTCATCTCCAACTGGTACAAAACGCTGCTGCATAAATAAAGGTGGCTTGATTGATTGAACTGTTCATGGATGTGGACATCAAGCAACAGAGGACTCAGACTACATTACAAGTTTTGTTTGTGTAACCTGCTATTTTATCAATTATATGTATTCAAAGATGATTCAAATTAGTTTATAAGTCGTCTTCTTCTTTCGGCTGTTCCCGTTAGGGGTCGCCACAGCGAATCATCTGTTTCCACCTAACTCTATCCTCGGCATCCTCTACTCTCACACCAATTAACTTCATGTCCTCTTTTAGCACATCCATATATCTCCTCTTTGGCCTTCCTCTTGACCTCTTGCCTAGCAGCTCCATCTCCAACATCCTTCTACCAATAAAACCACTATCCCTCCTCTGTGCATGTCCAAACCATCTCAGTCTGGCCTCTCTGACCTTGTCCCCAAAACAGCCGACCTGAGCTGTCCCTCTGATGTGCTCATTCCTAATCCTGTCCATCCTGGTCACTCCTAAAGAGAACCTCAACATCCTCATCTCTGCTACCTCCATCTCTGCCTCTTGTCTTTTCCTCACTGCTACAGTCTCTAACCCATACAGCATAGCTGGTCTCACTACTGTCTTGTACACCTTTCCTTTGATTCTTGCTGACACTCTTCTGTCACACAACACTCCTGACACCTTTCTCCACCCACTCCAACCTGCCTGCACTCGCCTCTTCACCTCTTTCCTACACTCCCCATCACAGATCACAATGTCATCCGCAAACATCATTGTCCACGGAGATTCCTGTCTGACCTCATCTGTCAACCTGTCCATCACCATAGCAAACAAGAAAGGACTCAAAGCCGATCCTTGATGTAGCCCCACCTCCACCTTGAACTCCTCTGTCTGACCTACAGCACATCTCACTACTGTCATACTCCTTTCATACATATCCTGAACTACTCTGACATACTTCTCTGTCACTCCCGACATCCTCATACAGTACCATAGCTCCTCTCTCGGCACTCTGTCGTACACTTTCTCTAAATCCACAAAGACACAATACTTTTTAAACCATTCAGCTTTATTCTGAAAATTTTGCCCCATTCAAATGAATGGGGAAATTTTTACTTTTGCATACTTTCAGCTATTAAAATGTTCAGCTCTTCAAGGACATTCACGCTTTTATTCAGAGTTTTTCTAAACTTCATACTTTCAAAACATTTAGCTTTATTTTGAAAATCTTGACCCATTCAAATTTATGGGAAAGTTCTACTTCAGCATACTTTCAGTAGCAAAACCATTCAGGTGTCAAAACGTTAAGCATTTTCAGGGCGATCTTTCAGCACTCAGCATCCATATGCATTTTCTTCAGAAAATGCATTTCTCTAGTTCTGTCTACTGTCCTCAGTCGTTTCTACGTCCCACTTCTTTTTAGCTAGCCTCTTCCTCTGAATGCTGTCCTGTACTTCCTTGTTCCTCCACCATGTTTCCTTACCTTCTTTCCACCTTCCAGATGACACACCTAGCACCTTCCTACCTGTCTCCCTGATCACGTCTGCTGTAGTTTCCCAGTCATCTGGAAGTTCTTCCTGACCACCCAAAGCCTGTCTCAACTTCTGTCTGAATTCCACACGACATTCTTTCTTTTGAAACTTCCACCACTTGGTCTTCTTTTCTGTCTTTCCTCTCCTCTTCTTTCTGACCACCAGAGTCATCCTACACACCACCATCCGATGCTGTCTGGCTACACTTTCCTCTTATATGTAACTCTATGTTCCTCCCTCTTCTGGAAATAGGTGTTAACTACAGCCATTCCCATCCTCTTAGCAAAGTCTACCACCATTTGTCCTTAACACCAAACCTGCCCATCACCTCCTCATCACCTTTGTTCCCCTCACCAACGTGCCCGTTGAAGTCTGCCCCAATCACCACTCTCTCCCCTCTGGGAATACTCTCCATCACCTCATCTAACTCACTCCAGAATCTCTCCTTCTCTTCTAACTCACACCCTACTTGTGGAGCATAACCACTGACTACATTCAACATTACCCCTTCAGTTTCCAACTTCAAACTGATCACCCTGTCTGACACTCTTTTCACCTCTAAAACATTACTCACCAGCTCCTCCTTCAGGATCACTCCTACCCCATTTCTCTTCCTGTCCACACCATAATAAAACATTTTGTATCGCAAAGCGCGTAGCATTGGAGGGGGTATGGAATTCGCACTGATGATTCGCATGTTTAAATTTGGCATGTTTTTACGCCGGATGCCCCTCCTGATGCAACCCTCTCTATTTATCCGGGCTTGGGACCGGCACAGAAGTCACTGGCTTGCAACCCCTGTGGCTAGATTAAAGTAAACAAAAAATAAATATATTATCAATAATAATCATACACAATAACAGAACTACATTAGTTCCAACTTTATACATGCATACGGAGACAAACTGTACGACAACGTAGGTCAGAGATACACGACACAGAATATCCCAGAGGGAAGTGGAGGTGACATCAGTGGCCACAGTGAGGTTTATACACCAGCAGAGTCATTGTTGCAAGCTTTCTGCATACATCTAATCTCAGTTGTTAATATCACTTAGAGATTTTCCTCTCTGTTTCCAAGGTATTGTTTATTAATAATTTAGCTTCTATAAAGAACATAACCTTAAAAAGACATGATGTTCCTTATTGTCAGCTGTGGCTTTATACCCCTTTTACTCCTTTGTTGCATGGTGTCTCCTCATACAGTTAAATAACTTTTAAATAGAACAATTTTGTAAAAATCTAAAATACATTTCACTTTTAGTACAACTTTGAATAGTAAAAACATCCTTCCAAAAATCTCAGTTCATGTGCACGAAAGAGATAAATTAGTCTTTTTAAAAATCATAATCATCTTATTAGTTCCTCCTATCTTGAATACTTATTATCTTGAATATTTTGGACACAGATTGAGTTTATTTATAATTTGCCATCAAATCAATAATTACTACTCTTCTCCAATTTTAAACTTTTGTTTCATGCGATGGTTTTGCTTTTATCTGACACAGTCTAGACTGGGTAGTGATATGATTTCATTGGATTTATTTGGATTTGATTTTTATATTTTAATTTATTTTTAGTTTAATATATTAAAATATGTGGCTGCATAAAATCCATTATTTGTGAGTAACCTGCCTTACAGTGCCACCATGTGGCAGGCTTTGGCTATGATTCTATTTATCATCACATTTGTAATATTTTTACCATTTTCACTACTCTGAAGAGCAGACCAGAACACACAAACTCAGGTTACCCTCAACTACAGATACATGTGCATAACCCATTTTGTTTAAGGGAGCTGAGTCTTTCAAATGAAGCCAGAAAGACCCAGAAAGGATGCAGCCAAGTAGCTACACTGCTGTGCTAAGCTGTGGAGGCTGGTTACTACCTGGTGAGATGAAGAAGGTCCTCCACAGCTTCTTATCACGTGTCACATCTCTGATTTCCCTTGTCATGTTGACAAGTCGTCCTGCCACTGGAGGCACTCTTCTGAAGTCAAGGATCCTGAAGAGACAGAGAGATATTTAAAATGTTCAGTATTTTTGGATGAAATTTTTTTTACATAGAGGCTGAAATGACAGATAAATTAACCAACTTGTCCTGTTTATGTGAAGCAATGCTGTCTGCTGCAACACTGATATTGACATAAGTGGCAGGCAAATTTAGCTGTCTTACACAATGTTTCTGACTTCACTTTGCACTGAACTGATGTAGCTTCCAAGCCTCCAGGTTATTCTTCCATGGTGCACCAGGCAGTGCTGAGTGTTTCCAGCCAATAAGTGCCTCTTGTGTCTTTTTTGAGCTGCTCTGGCCTTGTGCTCTTGACTTCTGCACCCTCCCTGCCTGCATCATCTGCAGCAACACTCACAACCTGCATACAGTATGTATGGTCATTACTGTCTGCATAAAGACAGGCCACAGAAAATGTGCAATATTGGGATCCTTTTCCTTTGCGTTTTGTGATTTTCAGTCAAACCTGTAAGTGCAAAACTTGAACTGTATGGCTTCAGCACGCAAGTTGTAATCATTGGCATCATAAGCAGCATTTATCGACATTCAATATTCACTAAGCAGATTAAGCACTTTCTTACCAGTACGTACTCACTAACAAAAACACAAATTTATGAACCACATTCATTCATGTGAGAAATATCCTAACCTCTATTTATATTCATATTGCTGAGGGAAGGTTAGTTCTACTATTGTTGCTCTCCTGTTCCTTCACCGCCTTTCTGTCACTCATTCTTATGCATCTATGTCAGAACATGATACCTATTCAGGCCCTGTCTGGCCTGTCTCACTGTGTTTTCTGTCCAGTGACCCTGACCTATTTGAGAGTAAAACTAAGCCTCTTGGGAGCCAGCAGACCTGCAGACAGACTGGCCAAGTGCAACAAAGGTTATGAAACTTTAGCTTTTAGCAATCAGGAGTTGCAAACTGCACAAAGGAGCACATGCACACTTGTATTTGGCTGTGAGTGCATATTCAAGCATCTATGTATGTGCACTTTGCCTGTTACACACCCCTGAGTAACTAAATGTTTACAACAGATGGTAAGATGGCACACAGGCAAAGAACTAAACTCCCTGGGATTTAGAAGTAATTAGTGGAGAGCTGTGACGTTACCTCTACTTTTAATCTTCAGGATATTTTTCATCAAAACAGTCTAGAAGTAAATGTCAAATTAAATAAAGTTTTAGCAAAGCAAAACATCCGCCCACTACACATTCCTTATTTAGTATGAAGTTATAAACTAAGCAGTGGCTTAGATGGGGATCCAGAGACTAGTGTGGTCAGACTACTGGACAATAATTCATCGGCAACCCTGCACGATGCATGCACGCTAAAAGCAAACTGCTATTTAGGGGTAACATACAGACCTCTCTGTTCTAAAACCATGTCTCGGTGGTAATGGCGTGCCTGTGCTTTCCTGCCCACACAAACACAAGCCACTGCTCTCATCTAACAAACTGGAATGTGTAAACAGAATGCGCGCACCTCAGGCTCCTTCAGACTGTGCGTACACACGATTTGAGTATCTGTGATACAGTGAATGGTCTGAGATGGAGCATTTTAAACAGAATGCGTTGTTTTTAGCTGTTTACATATATTTTAGTTCATAAAGTGTCTTTTTTGTGTTTATGTTGGCCTTCTTTCTTTTGCTCGTCATTTTCCTGTTTTTAACTTTAGACTTAAATGATTCTGTAAACTGCTGATATTACTCTTATTAAGTTGTTTTCTTTGAATCTTTTATTGGCATCACTAGGTGTGTAAATAACTCACAATGATCTAAAAAGCTGTAGGTGTGTGTAATGTTCATGTGTAAGGACGGCTGTTCTGGCGTTACTGGAGGGTCTTGACAATGCGTCTAGTAGACAAGAAAGAGCGTTAAGAGATGGTTCTGATTCTCTGTAAAGCTATGTGACCAAAATTTCAATGCGTTCATCTACTATAGATAATGCAGGAGGTGCCAGTCCTCCTCCTGTTGCCCTCATAGTATGTGTGGATGCATGCGCTCTTTTGCCTCTGGCTTACAATCTGACCACTTCTTTTTTAACCTCAGCTATAGTCCTCTGCTCTGAACTGGCAGCCTCAGTTTTTTTGCCATTCAGCAGTTCTTCTCTTTGTTATCCCTGAAGTGAGACCACCAAACAAATCATCTCTTCTTTTCTCCACCTCTCCAATCAGTCTCAATTTCACACTCAGTGAAGTCGCACTTTTCTTTTTCATTGCCATGTCTAATAACGTGTGGTTCAGACAGCACTGTTCTGTGCAAACGACCGTCTGTGTCTATTTATGGGTAAAGGTGGGAGTGTACAGTAAAAGAAGCTCATGCATGTGCTCGCCCAGTTCCCTGACGAATCAGATTTATAAAGCAGAACCAGGTGTACGTGTGGCTTTATGAATCTGATGAAAACAGTGCATACGCTCACTTCTGTCTTACACACAGTCTTAGTCATGAATGTATACAGAGTTTTATGCATCTGGCCCCAGGAGATGAGCCCTGCCCGCAGTGTGTTTATATAATTTTCACATCTTAAGTCCATTATGGCACACCTCAGATTTATAATGGTGTTAAGGTGTGTAGGATCACATGTGACCCATCAAAAAGATGGCAAACGTCACCTGTCCAAGTGAAAAGCAGCAACCTCAGCATTGTGCCTCTCAAAGTCAGAGAAGTAGAAGAAGTCTGGAGGGGTTTCCTGCTCCCGGGTCTGCCTGAAAGAGAGTGATAAAGAAAACATTAAACAACATAATGGGGAAAATCTCTGGTCTTTTTAATGAGATACCTTTGTGCTCATATCTTACATTTTTTGTTTAGGTAAATGAAAAATGTACTGGAGCTGAAAGATGAGCTTTGAAAAGTTTATATTGTCTTATGATATGAAGCATTTCTACTCCAGTCAATAGAAATCTCCTCAGCCTTTATCAGATTTTTGTTTGCTGCAGGGTGAAACTCATCTCAGTGTCTGCATCCTTTTCTGGGACAAAAGCTGATGCAAGAGACCAAAGCCTTTGTGGACAAAGCTGCTGAAGGATGAAGTGTGTGCTGTTTGGTGACCTGGCTAACCTAACTGCTTCTAACCAGGGCCTGGGCCCCCTGGCTCGACACCTGAAGTCGGCTGTAAAAAACCTAGGGGTAATGTTTGACGGCGACTTGAGGTTTGACAAGCAAATCAACTCAGTTGTGAAATCTAACCTCTTCCACCTGACGCTGTTAAGCAAGGTCAAGTCATTCCTTTCTTTTAATGATTTTGAGATTGCAATCCATGCTTTTATCACTTCTAGACTTGATTATTGCAATGCTCTATGCTATGGTGTTAACCGGTCCTCCCTCACTCTTCTCCAAATGGTGCAAAACACTGCTGGTTTTTTGACAAGTACTAGGAAATTTGAGCATATAACCCTGGTACTGGCTTCTCTCCACTGGCTTCCAGTCCATTTTAGAATTGATTTTAAGTTATTGATTTTTGTTTTTAAGGCTCTTAATGTTTTGGCACCATCTTATCTCACCGAATTAGTGCATTGGTACAAACCTACCTCAGATCTTCAAGCCAGTTTCTTTTAGAGGCTCCTAGGGCCAGATATAAACGCTGGGGTGACCGTGCTTTTACTGTTGCAGCCCCTAATCTACCTTTTAATGTTAGATCAGCTACTGACCTCAGTACTTTTAAATCATTGCTTAAAACATATTTATCAGCCTTGGCTTTTAATAAACAGTAGGGCCTGATGCATTCCTTTTAATTTAATTTATTGAATGTGTATCATCTGTGTGTCTGAGCCGTTTTATTTTTTGCACCGATCTTATTTACTCTATTTTAGTCATTTATTGTCGTTTTATTCTGCCATGTAAAGTACTTTGGTCACCTGGATGTTTTTAAAGTGCTATATAAATAAATTTGATTTGATGAGATTCTTGCTCACATTCTGCTGTTCCTCCCAGCAAACACACACACACACACACAGAGAGACAACCAGGAGATGAGTCAGGAACTGCACTTTGTGTCCGTCTTTCTCTCTGGCTGTCCATCTGCTTGTCTGACAGCAGGATTATCTCTCTCCACATTTGCACACTTGCTTTCTCTTTCTCACACATGACTTCAGGAGTGCTGCATCATTCTCTGTCCTCCACTTATTTTTGGAAAAGCCAAATCACTAACAACAGAAAAGAACTTATCTACCTATTCCATTACATGTCAGGGAAACCGCAGTTTAAACCTGTAAATTAATTGCTGCTATAGTGATCCCAGAACAAGAGGGGAGCTAAGGGTATTTTATTTCCAAGGTGTAGAGGAGGGGATAAAAGATACTGTGTAAGGGAAGAGGGTTTGGACTAGAAGGTAGCGAGGCTTTTAAAAGATGACCTTATGAGCTGCAACATTCAAAGCACCTGCGACGCACCTCCAATGGTATCGTTCAAATATGCCATTATCAAGTAACCTTATCACCCACAGATAATCAAAAGGCTCAGCGGCTCAAAAAGATCAGTTGAAACACTAAGATGTGAAATGGTGGCATATGTTTCATTCTTTGTGTCTCTGCCTTGTTATACATAAAGCAGCAACAGCTTTTAGTTTAATGAGGTATTTTTCATGGACAAACAAAAATAAAGACAAACGGTCTGAAGTTAAAGGTTGTTTTTCTTCTTATTAAGGAAAAACTTCTCAAAACCTTTTTATGTCTTCAAATGCGATAATGATGTACTTATGTACTTCCAAGCTTTTCAACCATGCACGTTTCTGCCCCAGATTAACTGTACCATTGTGCAAAATTTGTAACTTAAACCTGACTGACGCACATTACAGGCTTTGGTTGCCATGGTCACCAAGATGTAAAATGCAATTTCCTGTCAGGGAGGACGCTGCTTAGAATTTTCACAGTAGGCAGTAGCAGGGTTGTGAAGTGAAAAGCCAAACACAAGCACACACTCAAGAAACACACAGATGCTATGAAAATTCACAAATTTCCCCTCACAATTATGTACAGACACACACACACACACACACACACACACCTCCTTTGTTAGCAAGTGTCCTTGACAATAAGAGTAGAATGTGATTAAGCTACAGCAAACATACTGTGTGTACTTCACAAGAAACTGTGTGAGAGAGAGAAAGAGATGTGATGAAACCGAACTGCTTGTGCACTGACTCGACAGTTTGCATTAGAGAAAGGTGGCAGAAGGAGGAGGGTGAACACCACAACAGCTGTGGCCTAGACTCAGACTATCACACAGCCAGACTGATATATGCAAGCGACAGAGAGGGCAGCAGAGACAAACCCAGCGAGAGAAAAACACTGACCACTTCCATGTCAACTTTAGCACTGAAGCCAGGGGGAGGAAAATAAACACATCTCTTCACAGACAAAGAGGGCACGCACGTGATTTGACATCTGATGGTAATCTACAGCAGATTTCAGCCCCCCCCCCTGCTGGCAGGCATCATTGTCTCTGTCTGGCCCTCTGTGCTGTGTGGGTGGGTGGCTAAAAAAGAGCAATTTGCTCTTGAGGCCTGCGAACAAGTCAAATGCAAACAATAATTTTTCCAAACTGTTTGGAGAAATTACACATTTTGTTGATGTTTGAAGCATTTAGACATTAAAAACGAGCCTTTCTTCAACTACCACATGGGCCACGGAAAAGCAGCCCCCCTCCAAAACAATCCACTTGCTCGTTCATCTTGTCATACTATCGCCGGGCTACTTTTCCGTGGCCCGCCTTGTATTACGGCAGTGTTACTTTTTATTTCATGAACCTCACACCCACCAAGTTTGGGCATAAGTCAGTGTACTTGCATACATACTTGCATAAATACAGTTTTAACAATGCTAATCGTACAACAATCACTATCGCTGACAACTTCTGTATCGCCTTTCAAATCCTCATGAAAGAACAGTTTTTTGTGTGTGGTTACAAAAATCACCAAGTACAGTACCACATTTTTTGTTAATGACATAAACAGACAGTCAAAGAAGTAGAGAAGAGATGTTTTAAACCACTGACAGCTGTGTAATCTTTTGTTATTTTCAGTGAAGTTGCCTTTTCAATAGATGCCAGATGAGCTTATTGAGGCCTTTTTACCCTGGCCAGTTTTTTTTGTTTTTCCCCACACACAGTCTTAACATCACGTCATCTCACATGGGACACATGGTAGAGATGAATAAAACAAAATAGCACCCTTTCCATTAGATTAGGGTTTAATCACATTGAACTCCAGTCCTCGGCTGATGTGATGTGTCCACATTTCGGTGGTTTTCAGGCACCTTCCTACGGTGCTAATTCGGATGTGTCACTGTTGGAATTTCCTAGTCATGACATGACTTGGATGTTAGAGTGAGGGCTAGTTGCGAGATGGAAACTTGTAATTATGACTCAAACACAGAATTACCCTAATGTTCTCATCTAGTTAACCACAGCAAGCCACAGGCCCTTAATCAAACACAGCTGACTGAGTGGGTGCAACTAAGAAGACAGGCAGTAACAAAATATGTTCTGTGTGCAGGTTATTGTTCCTGGAAATCTAGTTTTCCAAATTGAAAGACAAAAGAATATTTGATCCTGTAGTGCGCTCTAACCTGATTTAGCAGTTCTTTGTAGTTACTGTGCAGCCATATGAAATTCCATCTCACCAGCCTGACCCTACTTAACACCAATTATCAAGCATCCAGCAGCTTCTCTCCCTGCTCCTCCTCCTCCTCCTCTGTTTTTCCTTCCACTCTTCACCTTAGTCATCTCTTACCTACCCACCTGTAACCACCAATCACCTTTTTTTTTTTTCCTCCTCACTATTTTGGTGAAAACATTTGATGAACACATTTCACAAACACACACTGTATGGCCCATGTGCTTCCTCTTGACAGCCGCTGTCAAACAGTCCACTCGGCCCTTTTTGTATTGGAGAGCGCTGGAAAAAGGCAAGTGATTAATTGAATCTATCCAGAACACACATGGGTAATTGGCACCTTGCTGCATACTCACAACACCTCAGACAGTTGGAAGGATGAGGAAGTGGATAAGATTGGGAAATAAAATCTCTTGAGCCTGGTGATTTACGTCAGAGAGCGCTTGTCTGTCAGCAGCACAACATGCAGAAGTATCAAAGAAAACACTGGCCAGCAGCACAACATGCAGAAGTATCAAAACACTGGTAAAGACTGTCAAGACTGCATGTGTGTGCACTTAAACATCAGCATTCTGTGAGCGTATATTTACATTTTGTGCACATTATTGTTCTCTATCTGCTTATTCTTCTTGATTTTCCTCCACACATGCTGCTTCTTCACCTCCTCCAGCAGAGGAATCAGAGAGGGATCTAAGAATTAGCCCAGGGACCCAAGGTAGCTGTCTAGATTGAATTTCAAATCAATGTTACACAAGTTGTGTTCTAGCCTCAGCTATTTCCAACACACAGGGTGAGACACTGCCAGAAGAGAAAGGCAAGTCATCTGCGTGTGTGGGAAGCAGTATAGGAGATATTATCATAAAAATGCTGGGAAAAGAACTTGACTCGAAGATGGATGTCAGCGCTTCAATTTAAAAGTTATTAGAGACTCATGAGGTGGGAGAGAGTGGAATGAAGCAAGATTATCAGTTTTCTGCTGCATGAAGTTTTCAGTACTTGCAAGTTTAGAGGTGTAGATATCGACTGATTGATCTTTTATCGGGACAGGGCGCCCTGGGGAGTTCATGAATGATCTGCTTTAAAGATATGAGTTAT